AATGGTTCGCAAATAGCGATAACCTTAAAATAAAATGCAAATTTGTTTTTTTAATTGTTCAAAATGTCCATTCAGTACTCTCATTTCAACATGTATGTAGACTGCGCTATTCCTGTGTTTGTGCTCATTCCGGTCCTGATTAATGGAACCAGGTAATAAAGCTTGAATTAAAGCGATGATTTATTATAAAGATCTGAAATAAGCGATCAGCTTCATCACATCAGATCATCATTAGATCAACTTTCAAAGCCATCATTAGTGTTTCTGAGATCATCTGGGCTGGATTTTCCTTGAAATAGAGACGTGAGCATCTGAAGCAGAAACCCTAAACCTCACGCACATGTGTGTGTCCTGATTACGTGCTATTTTAACTCTGTGTGTGTGTGTGTGTGTGTGTGTGTGTGTGTGTGTGTGTGTGTGTGTGCGGTGAGGGATCTGCATGAATCAAAGCTCGCTCGCCCTCCGCCGCACTACACATGCAAGCGTCTGCGTTTGTAATTATGCGAGTCCAGCTCTTCCCGAAGACAGCAGAGATTCCTAAAAATACACCAGAGTCATCAAGACACCCGATTCAGAGCTCAAGAGTGTGTGTTCTGCTCCAAATACATCAGGACATGCACAAAGTCACACTAAAACACACACATATTTCAGCAGAGTTTGGTGTGTGTGTGTTTATGCATGTGTATGCGTGTTTTTGAGTGTGTGTGTGTGGACGAATCTGTTTGAGTGTGTCTGTGTGAGTATGTATGTGCATGCAAGTGTGTGTTTGAGTGTGTGCATGTATGTCTGTGCATGTGTGTGTTTGTATCTGTGTGCATGTGTATGTATGTGTGTGTTTATCTGTGCATGTGTGAGTGTGTGTCGGTGTGTGTCAAGTCGCTGGGCCTAAAATCATTAGACCCAAACACAGAGTCGTGTTGAGACAGGCTCTGCTGCAGACGGAGATGACAGACTGTTGTGCTGTTGTTGAGCTGAACCGCACCATAACAGCGCTCCAGATACTGTACTTCACTGATTCTGCCTTTTCTTACTGCATGACGTTGCGGTTCAGTGAAAAAGTGAGGAAGAAGATTGTTCTATTAACATGCGGATGCTTCATCTGCTTTGACTGATACAGTGGGGGAAAGTATTGCACACCTCATGTTTGTTCCGGGGAACATTTCTAAAAGACAGCTGAGATGGAATTAAAGCAGGTTTTGGTAAAAACCCAAACAATACAAACATCATTCAATCATGAGGTCATCACAGTCGAATGAACCGCAGCTGCAACCCATCACTGGGAAACACCCATACACACTCATTCACACACACTGCAGCCAATTTAGTTCTTCAGTTCCCCTAAAGCGCATGTGTTTGGACTGTGGGTCAATGTGTGTAAAGATTTGGGACATTTTCTTGGCCAACTGAACCGCGCCTGAGCTCAATTTAGAGCACTCACACTTCTCACTCTGTTCACCTGCTGAACAACACACTCCTGCTGCGTCACAGTCTTATGGAGACCTCCTCAAGCAGAGTGTCCCCCTTCAGTCTTCTGACATGTGCATGGTGTTGCTCAGATATCGGAGGGCTTCTCAAAGCTCTCTCAGTCGTGTCTGCAAGCTTCCAGACCTTTCCAAAAGCATCTCTTTTAGGTGAGATGATCAGGATGGGCTGCAGATCGTCCGGGCAGCGGCTGTGTTTGCTTTTGTTCAGTGTGGGGTCAGATGTGTGTGTGTGTGACGTGCACGCGCTCATTCATTAACACAGCTGACCGTTGGTGCTGTTTGGGTGTGAGGAGCTGACCTCCATGACCTCTGTGCCATTCCCATGGCGACGGGTTGCATGGGTTAAAGGTTAATCTGAGGCAAACAGAGCAGAACTGTCACGTGCATGTGTGTGTGTGTGTGTGTGTGTGTGTGTAACAGAAGCAGAAATATCTGTTGAATGAATGATTGCTCACACATTTCAGCGCTTCATCAGAAACTAATACAGCTAGTTTTAGCATTCGGCAGCATGTGTGTGTGTCATGTTGATGTAGGAGTGTGTGTGTGTGTGTGTGGAGACACTCAATCTGCTTCACACTGAACGACAAACTCTCTTCCTCACCTCATACAGACGATCACTGAACAAATAAGCTGAGATCATCTAATGACCTGTTACAGTCTTCGCTAGCGCTCATCGCTTATACTTATTCGTTTAGCTGACACTTGGTGTGTGTGTGTCAGAGCGGGTGAGGGAGTGTGTGTGTGTGTGTGTTTGCATTTGTGTCTGTGTGTGTGCGTGTGTGTTTGTGAGTGTTTGCATGTGTATACGAGTGTGTGCGCATGCGCGTGTGTACAAGTGTGTGCGCATTGGCAAGAGTAAGTGTGTGCACATGTGTGTGTTTACACGTGTGTACGAGTGTGTGTCCAAGTGTGTGTGTGTTTGTACGAGTGTGTGTCAAAGTGTGTGTGTGTTTGTACGAGTGTGTGTCCAAGTGTGTATGTGTGTGTGTGTGTTTGCAAGTTTCTACGAGTGTGTGTACAAGTGCGTGTGTTTGTATGCGTTTGCGTGTGTGCATGCGTGTGTTTTGGGTGTTTGCATGTTTGCATGCTTATTTGAGTTTTTGCATGCGTGTACGAGTGTGTGTTCGTGTGTGCATGTGTGTATGAGTGTGTGTACTAGTTGTGTGTGTACATGCGGTTGTAAGTGTTTGCCAGTGTGTGTGTATGTGTGTGTGTGTGTGTGGGTGTTTGAGTGTCTGTGTGCTTGTGAGTGTTTGCATTTGTGTGTACAAGTCGTGTGTGTATGTCTGTATGTGTGTGCGTGTGCATACGTGTGTGTGTATGCATATGCATGCATTTGAATGTGTGTACAAGTGTGTATGTATGTGCGCGCAAGTGTGTGTGTGTTTGTGAGTGTTTGCATTTGTGTGTACAAGTTTTGTGTGTGTGTGTTTGTATGTCTGTATGTATGTGTACAACTGTGTGCGTGTGCATGTGTGTTTGTATGCGTGTATGAGTGTGTGTGTGTGTGTGCATGCGTGCATTTGAATGTGTACGAGTGTGTGTGTTCGTGTATGTTTGAGTGTTTGTGTGTGTGTACACGAGTGTGCATGTGTGTGTGCATGAGTGTGGTTGTAAGTGTTAGTGTCTGAATACTGACATGTATGCATGAGCACACGCACACACCCACACACTCACATACACAAACTTATACTACACACTCACTCTCTCACACTTATTTAAACACACTCTCTCACTAACACACACTCACACACTCTCTCACTAACACACACTGGCCCCTTGTCCACAGGTGGAGTGTATTTCTGCCCTTTGAACGTCACCACAGTCTTCAGGTTTCCTTCCCCTGGAATTCCTGTGTGTGTGTGTGTGTGTGTGTGT